TCCAACAGATTCTACAAACATCTGATTTGCGTAAGCTTTAATTTTAGCTTCTATCTCAGTTCTTGTGGTAAATTTAAAATATCAGAATATTCCTTCCCAGCAATTGTTACGTAGGAAAACTCCAACCCTAGAGAGCAGAAACTAACTTGATGCGTACTAAATAAACTAGGGAAGGCAATTAGCATTACCCATAAATCTCAGTCGACATGAAAAAGCCAGGTGGATGACCTGCTAAGCCTTTCCCATCCCTCTTACGAACCACAAGCAGTAAAGCAGGATATGCAAGCCATATGCTCTCTAAATTAAGATCACATAGAGCTCTGCATACATGAGGCAGTCTGGAGGATCTTTACTTTGTTGATACTCCCAAAGCTTCTTGACTTATTTATGAGGGAAAAAGAAACAACTTGTACATTTACATCACATACCTGCATGCTTCTAAGTGAGGCCCAAGGGCAAGCGATTTCATTTCAGTCAGCATATAAAGGAAGCTTACTCCTTTATGGTTTAATTTTCCCAAAGCTTATTTTGAAAATGGTGCATCTTGAATTTTAAAGAATAGGTTATGATAGAAATATTTTAAGAGGTTTATTTTAAATGAACAAAGAAGGGCTAGATATGAAAAGCCATGTTCTAAACAGCAGATTTTAAGATATGAGGCCATAAAGCAAAGACAAATTATGTACTGCCATGAATCAGACAACTCCATTATGATGCTTCAGGATACCTGAAGGGTAAAGAAACCCATAGACCTGGCAAATTATATATTGCTACATCAAATATTAGAGTAGGGAAATTGTGCCTAACCCAGCCTGTTTATGAATACATTCTGAAATATTTGTGATTCTTAGAGGCAAGCCTCATTTGAGGTTTGGAAGTACCTGAGGAAGGCATACAGCAGTACAGAAACAAAGCTGACTTCAGTTCTTCTGTGCTTTAGGAAACCTCTTCACAGGCCATACTCATCGCCCTACAATATTGTCTTTCACATTTACTTATATGCCTTTGATATTCCTTCCCCTTCTCAGGATTCCTTTCACTTCCCAGGAGTCTCCCACTCACTGTTTCTCTCCCTTTCATTTTATCACAAGGATTCTTTCAAGAATGCAGCAACTGCCCTCTTTTCCAATGTTTTTTGAGCCTATCTAGGAGTCGCACATGAAGAAGGATTCTGAGAGAAGGGTTTTTTTGTTGCAAAACTGTCAAGGATAAGCTTTACTGTTAATAATAACCATATTGCAGTTACAGGTCTATCACTGGAGTGTAACCCTCTGAGAACAGCAGGACACTTGATTTAAAGTACATCCCTTACAATCAAAATTTGGAAGAGTGAAAAGCCGATTCGCGCTTCAACTTAGGTTAAAACGAGACAAAACATTTTACTATCAGGCACTGAAAATAACTTTAAAAACTGATGAACATACCAGTTGAGCTGTTATAATTCATAATCTTCTGAACTTCCAATGAGGACACTAAACTTTTAAAAAGCAAAGTATTTCTACTATACTAGATACTACATTTAGTACTTTGACTGCATCTTGTTCATAAACGTCAAAAAATTGTTTGAAGGATAACAGTTACTTATCCTCTAAAAATGACTGAGTGCTAATCCCAGCCCAGTGTTCTGTATATTGAGAATGAAGTATAGCTGAATCTTGACAAATACAGGACTTCCCTGACTTTGATTAACTTGGCCCATGAACATGATCATAGAATCATAGAATATCCTGAGTTGGAAGGGACCCTTAAGGATCATCAAGTCCAACTCTTGACACCGCACAGGTCTACCCAAAAGTTCAGACCATGTGACTAAGTGCACAGTCCAATCTCTTCTTAAATTCAGACAGGCTCGGTGCAGTGACCACTTCCCTGGGGAGCCTGTTCCAGTGTGCAACCACCCTCTCTGTGAAGAACCCCCTCCTGATATCAAGCCTAAACTTCCCCTGCCTCAGCTTAACTCCGTTCCCACGGGTCCTGTCGCTGGTGTTAATGGAGAAAAGGTCTCCTGCCTCTCAACACCCCCTTACGAGGAAGTTGTAGACTGCGATGAGGTCTCCCCTCAGCCTCCTCTTCTCCAGGCTGAACAGGCCCAGTGCCCTCAGCCGTTCTTTACAGAACTAAGAGAGGCCTCGAGATTAACTCCCCTTGTCCTTATGGGGGACTTCAACTTGCCAGACGTTAACTGGGAGTGCCACACGGCTGACACGAGCAAGTCCAGGAGGTTCATGAAGCACCTAGATGATAACTTCTTGGTGCAGGTGCTAACGGAGCCAACTAGGAAAGGTGCCCTCCTAGACCTGTTGCTAGAAAACAGAGAGGGTCTGGTGGGAGATGTGGTGATTGGTGGCCGCCTCGGTCATAGCGACCATGAAGTGGTTGAGTTCAAAATTTACGGTGACAGAAGGAAAAGTGCCACCAAAACCTCATCCCTAGATATGGGGAAGGCGGACTTCAGGCTGCTCGGGGAACTAGTCAGCAAGGTCCCCTGGGAAGCTGCTCTTGAAGGCCTTGATGTCCACCAGTGCTGGTCACTCTTTAAGCGATGCCTCCTAGAAGCACAAGATCAGGCAATTCCTAAATATCGCAAGTCAGGCAGGCGGGGCAGGAGGCCGTCGTGGCTGACCAGGAACATTCTTATGGAGATTAGGCGGAAACAGAGAGTGTTTCGCTACTGGAAGGAGGGCCAGGTGACATGGAAAGAATACAGGGATGCTGCTCGTGTCTGTAGGAAGAAAATTCGTGTGGCTAAAGCACACCTAGAGTTGAAGCTGGCTGTGTCTGTGAGAGAAAATAAAAAGGGTTTTTTTAGATATGTGAATGGAAAAAGGAGAACTAAAGAATACATAGGGCCGCTCCTTGACAGGGAAGGTCTTCTCACAGACGATGACATAGGCAAAGCAGAGACGCTTAACTCCTTCTTTGCCTCTGTCTTCAATGCCGATGATGGGCTTCGGGACCCAGGGTGCCCTGAGCTGGAGGACCGGGACGGTGGGGAGGACAAACTCCCAACCGACCCTGAACGTGTGCGGGATTTGCTACTCCACCTGGATCCCTACAAGTCCATGGGTCCGGATGGGATTCATCCCCGGGTGCTGAAAGAGCTGGCGGACGTCATTGCGGAACCTCTCTCAATTATTTTTCAATGATCCTGGGAGTCTGGAGAGGTCCCGGTAGACTGGAAGCTGGCAAATGTTGTGCCGATTTTCAAGAAGGGTCAGAAAGAAGACCCTAGCAATTACAGGCCTGTCAGTCTCACGTCAGTGCCTGGTAAAATCATGGAGAAGATGGTTCTCGAACTTATTGAGGCGCACCTGGGGGACAAAGCAGTCATTGGTCCCAGCCAGCATGGGTTTGTGAAGGGTAGGTCCTGCCTAACTAACCTGATTTCCTTTTATGATAAGATCAATTATGCTTGATGCACCCCAGGACACGGTTGGCCCTCCTGGCTGCCAGGGCACACTGCTGGCTCATATTCAACTTGTTGTCTACCATGACCCCCAGATCCCTCTCTTCTAGGCTGCTCTCCAGCGTCTCATCGCCCAGTCTGTACGTGCAGCCAGGGTTTCCCCTTCCCAGGTGCAGGACCTGGCACTTGCTCTTATTGAACTTCATGCGGTTGGCGATCGCCCAGCTCTCCAACCTATCCAGATCCCTCTGCAAGGCCTTTCCACCCTCATTTGAGTCCACAACTCCTCCAAGTTTGGTGTCATCAGCAAACTTGCTCAAAATAAAATAAATGAGCTACAGAGCTGTCTCCAATTTGTTTGAAAAGACAGTTGTGTCGTTTCATTCTGCAAGTCTCCAAATGAAATTTGAACAACGTTTAGTGGATGAGTTTTAGGAAGCTTCACGCTTACTAGTTGGTTCTACCCCAGTGTTGTGTATCACCGCTGTATTAGAGATGGACTTTCTGCTCTCATGTACTCTCCAAAAACACTACTGTTGAGCACACACTAGCAGGGAAAAGGCCCAAAATACTTATGGTTACATGAAGCAAGTCACAATTATTAACTTAATTTCCAAAATAAAATGGGAGCTCTTCGAAGGAATAACAGTAAACAGTAACACCTAGATTCAGGAAAACACAAGGTTAACAGCATCAACAATAAAACAGCAACAACAACCTTTCTCAGTACTGATCCAACAGACAACATCTAACAGAATTTAATGCTGGATGTTAGGCCATTTCCATTTTTTTCCTCAGTTCTGTTTAAGAAAATCCCTGATTTGTGTACTTGTTTTATATAGCAGCCTTCTGTCAGAAGAGGAGCACAGAAGCCAGCTCAGTGTGAACCAGCAGAGCAGCAAAGGCTGTTCCCCAGTGACCTCTCATGATGCTGGGTACACCTCCCACTCCGACTCCTAGGGGAACATTGTACCTGGCTGCTTACACCCATTTGAAATAGGAACAATTTAGGGACTTCAGTGCAAGATTTTGTTTAATTTCAAAATCTGTTCCAACAGAACTTCTGCTATGGTTTTTCTCCTTAACAGCCTCCACTTAACTGTGAAGCTTGGATAGAACAGTTGCATGACAGCAACCAGGTATGGTAACTAATTCTTTTCCCAAGCTGATCAACGACCAGCATTGGATTCATCAAGTATCATGTGCCATGTCTAGATTGATGAGAGGGGGAATACATTAAAAATGTGGTAAGGAAAAGCACTAAAACCAGTTACAGCTGCTCTTACAAAACAGTGAACCTGCAACTGCCTTTCTTAATGTGGAAGGAAATTAGTTTATCAAATTCAAAATGCAAGCTCACTTACAGCCATGCAGAAGAAGGCCAGATGCTATTACAAGTGACAGATGCTATTCTGAACCATCCTTCAAGCAGGCATTACTACATCCTCTTTCATAAAGAAATGCCATTTGTTTTTGCCCCCAGAAACCGAGATGTTTGAATTTCTTGTTTGGAAAACACTAACCCCAAGTCAAATCTGAATTTACCCTCCTAGCAGGCTACTAGCTCTAGAAACAAAAGGAAACATTGGAAGACTTTAGGAGGTGCTGAAACATTTGTTTTGAGGTTTTATTACAAAAATATATTTGCAAACATACAAAATTTTGGATGAAAAATGCTCATTCTTAAACATTTATGCAATAACTTAATAACTGCAAACATACATAGGTGCTATAAAATCCATACCATACTAAAAATGTTAATGATGCAGTATCTACATTTATTGACTTAAAATTGTTCGGGTTCCGTTTCCAGAAATCTGTCCTGAAGCCTCCCTTCCCCATGGTTTTCATGCTTAAAGAACATGCAGATGAGTATGTAACTGGTGCATCCACCGAAGTGGTAAAACTCAGAAATTGCTAAAAGCACATAATGTACATTAAAAAACACAAAACAACCATATGCCCATACACTGAATAGATAAATATAAATAGACAACCAAATTAAAGATACTGCAATTTTTCCAACTTGAAGTAAAGATATTGCATCTTAACATTTCCGTAACATTGCCAGACAAAACTGAGGTGATATATATTGCACACATTCCTCCTGTTAAGATACGCTGTACAAAGCAACCAAAATAGCTGGCAAAAAGGTGGGTGATTTGTTTAGAATACTATTTAAAACAAAAAGTCCCAAATTAACATTGGCTTTTAAAAATGTTTCAGAAAGTACATCAGTGACTACACATGGCATAATGGGTTTCAGAAATATACCAAAATGAAGCAATTAGAAATGCAAGCAAAAGTGAGATACATCCAGCAGTGAGTTTTTAAATATTATATTGAGTATCTATACACAGTTAAACATATATAAGAAATCAAAATGAAGTACTTAAATTTTTTAAACTTTATTCATTCTGCAAATCTTGTTTAATTTGGAAAGATATACATCTTCTAAGTTAACAGATGTTAGGCACCTTTTATATAAACTTTGCATTATTAAATAACAGCAGATAAAGTCTAACTACAAAACTGAGAATTCCAATTTTCCTGAATAGTTCAGCAGCTGTAGGTTTTTAAACTGTCTTTGATCAGGCTTTATTTTTTTGTTTTTAAATTAAAGTGACTTTAACATTAGCCACAAAAAATCATGCTTAGATAATGCAATTAATTTGGGTAGCATGGTCTAAACTAACTTTTTCACTCTCAGAACTAATAAGTATAATCCCATTAACCCAGTAGTTTTATTAAAAACCTCCACACACTTGAAAATTGTCAAAATAATTTGCTGTGTTGATCCATGGTAACTTGCTATACCCTAGTTATAGATACATGCTGCTAACACGAATCAAGCACGTCAACAAACTGGTAGTTTTAGGTTTATGCAAAAAGTTTAAAAAAAAATCAGGAATAAGAGTTTTTAAATAACACAGTCTACATTAAAAAATTCCAAGTTTTACACTGTAGTTAAGCTTGTGTATTACAATGCAACTTATCTTTAAAGAGATTTGTCTGTTCAATCTACTACAGAGTGCTACTCTGGCACTCATAAATCAATCTCTGCAGTGTATTGGAGGACACCTACATTCATTCCAGTGTCTGCTGGCTATACATATACAGGCCAGGCCAGACCAGACGTGTTCAAGATGAACAGGTCTGCTTGTATTACAAATGATTTCACTGTTTCCTTTCCAATTCATTTTAAAAGTTGGGGGAAACAAACCAATAACATATTGCTACTAATACATTAAATAAAAACAAATGAAGGATATTCAGGTGTCAGAGTAGAGTCAAACTCTCAAAGCAGCATTGCTGCTCAAAACAGTATTACTTTTGTCAAGTGTACACAATTTAAGAACTCAAAATATAACTCCTTCCATTGTTTCTATAGATCTTTGGATATGACTGTATTTAGCAACCAGTATAAATATTCATCATTAGCTTTCAATATCTCTGTTCTTAGAAACTCATTAAAACTTCCTCCAAAGGAGCTGGAAGTTGTACATAAAAAGCCAGGAGTTAGGAACTTCATCTTTGCAAAAGGAACTCTGTATTTGGTTTAGGCTATATAATTTTGTTCATGGGAACTGCTCATTGGTTTGCTCCTTTTAGTAAAAATTTTTCTAAACAATAAATTGAGAACTTAGACCTAATTTGAGTCTCATTGTTTATGCACGTTTACAGTATCATAACTCTAGAATTTGTGTAGGAAGCTCCCATTTTCCTTAACAAGGCTCAGTGTCTATATTGCTGAATTCAAATGCTACCATTAAAGCCAATACAGTTCTTCATGAATGTGCATGATATTAGCATCATTCCCTGAATCTTCCATTTTTTTTTTTTTTTACTTTTATTTATTTATTTATTTATTTTTTTTAGCAAAATACTATATATTTTAAACAGAAACATTGAACTCAAAGGCTGAGAAGAGCTCTTCAGAAGGCAGGTAGTGCTAAAGAAGATATATTTTTTCCACTAAAAAACTATGAAAAAATAAAATAGATAAAATACATAAAACGTAAATATTTGTTTTATCTAAAACATACCAATTTGTGAAAAGTCACAATTAAAGCTCAATTAGTTTCCAATGAAATGGCCTTGACTACGTCAACATGTACTAATCCTTAGGATACATATACATATGTATGTTTTTTTTGTAAGGATCCAAACAATCTTTTTCTTCAATTTCAACAGTGCTTGGGGGCATCATAACTCAATACAGATCATCTTTCTGCTCAATAAACCAAAACTTTTCTACTGCAAAAGCATCCTTTAAAACTACTATTGCTGGAAAAAGTTGAGACCTGAAGTCTTATTAACTACCTTTGTATGACTTCAAGAAACAAATGCAAGCTATAGGCTAACCAATACAGCAGCATAAGAAAATATAATTAGAAATTTTTCTGACTTCAAACGGGAAAGTATGAGGTTAAACTCTTACATTACTGAATTATGAAATCACATAAGAAACACTAACAGGTTAACTACATAAACTTCATAAACAAGTATGAAGTTTTTACTACATAAACATACTTCAGACTATGAAGTATGCATTAACAATCTGGGGAGAGGGCAAGAGAAACGCATGCATTTGTTCCCTATCTGCATAGTTTTCAACACCGCAGTTCCAACACAACTGAGGAATGAAACCCAACTAAGATATGGTCCATCCTTAAGCTAAAAGGGAAACCAAGTATTTAAAACTATTTCAGTCAAACACTACTCAGTGGAAAAATAGTCTTTCAGTGGTGGTTTCTTAACTATACATTTAAACCAAAATAACTTCAACATACAACAGAATTATTCCATTGCTTAAAAACGATACAATCACTGAAGTTTGCATATTTCAAATTCCACCTTTTTAGAGAAAATGGCCTTAATCACTTGGATACCTGTTTAATGTCAGGGATGGAGAAGCAGTACGATTAATGGAATATATAACAGATGAATTGATGTGCATTAGCTAGAGACTGTTAATGTATTGAGCAAATCACATTTTTAAACATTTTGCTAAAGGTTTAGCTCTGAAGGCCTGGTGTCCAGATCCCACTCTTCCCCACAACTGCCAACTTAATCACACGGCATTTTGCTCTCACCTTAAAACTGGAACTAGGTTCCCACAACAAAGTTTTGTCTGGTGTGGTGTAGTGTACTGTACTATGTATTTGCTAGTTTAGAAAGTATGAGTCTGTAATCCTTGAAAACTGAATACAGCTAGGAATGAAAGCCAGCACAAACACCTGCATATTCCATTAATGCAAATGAAAGATCATATGCAAATTAACTCCCTTCCCCAATAAAAACAAAGGTTTGCTGGTGATGATCACAGTGAAAACCTAGATCGCTTCTGAGAACATTACTTTCGTAAGTATTTAAGGAATAGTCTTTCCTAACAGGTTCAAATTCAAGACATTGAAAACTAAATATTCTTTTAAAAAAATATTAGTTTTTTAGATGAGGCATAATTGTTTCTAAAGTGGTAATATTCTAAGTAGATTTAGCTTCGATTATAGCTTAATGTTGTCTGTATTCTTGGTTAGGACTTGCAAGTAGACTTCGTGAATAGTGTTGAGAAAGCGGGAATCATTCTGCAAAAAAAAAAAACCAAAAAACAAAACATCAGAACATTAGCAAAAATATACAAGAAAAAGTATAATTTAAGTCCATTTAAGCTATGCACAAAGATTCCTACTTACGTTGCTATCTACCTGAGGGCTAAGGCAAGGGAACTGGGGCAACTTGATCTGGTGGGTGGTATCCCTGCCCACATCAGGGGGTTGGAACCAGACAGCCTTGAAGGTCCCTTCCAACTCAAGCTTTCTATACATTTATATTAATTCTATGATTTAAAAATTCCTGTCAAAGCATTACCAGGAAGTGAAATTGTTTAATTGATAGACAACATTTAGAGAGATTTCCTGAGTCCTACTCCTTCAAATGGTATATATTTCTCTAGGCTGAAGACGTAGTACTCTTTCTACAAAAATCTACAGAGCAAATTTATGCATCTTGCTTGGAACATTCTGTAAGTAATCCCATGCTACAGGGTATGTCCATTTTGGCCTATGTTCAGCTGTCTCTATAAGTAAAATGAAGATTAGAAAGCTGGCTGGAATATTTGTCTCTAAAATCACTACAGTGATTCAGACTACTGGGGGGAGATTCTCTAATGAGAATAAGACTTCTGGCAATTGAGCTCAGTTGCAAGTCTTACAAGTAAGCTAGTTTAGGTCTTTAAATAAAAAATACCAATATGCAAATTGTGCAAAAATAAACAACATAGATAAGTCAGGCAATCTAGCTGATGTTGGGATCTGGCAGTGGCCCTTTTGATCATAGCTTTTTCCACTAGGAAGATATCGTTTGCTATTTTAGACCTGTGTTTTGGGTGTAAAACCTAACATTAGCATGTACAGAGCAAGAGAATCCTGAGTTAACACAGTACAGCTGTCACAGCAACTTCTACTGGTTACCTACAAATCTCACTATGGCTACTCCCAGCATTACACATTTAAATCAGCTGAATATTTTAGTCACTAGGGATGGCAACACTAGAGCTTTGTAAATTCCATTTCAAAGACACATACTTTGGTTAAAGTACAAGAACAGTTCTAGGTAAGTGGAAACAGGAAAGCTTTCCCAAGGAAAGACAGTAAAAACAGTCCCCAACCCATACAAAGTCTTCTACAAGTGTAACTTTTTCCTCAGGTGTCCACAAGTTCATATGGATGTAAAACTCTGAAGCAGAGTTGTCCTTCCAAGTCTTCCTCCCGTTTCACAACCAAAGTCTCAGTACTGGCTAGTCTACTTGGAACCCCATCCCTCAGATATGGAGTTCTTTAAGGACAGGACCTTTATTAGATGTATCAGTGCTTCTTGAAGCTGGGACCTACTGAGAACAGTAGGAGGTATAGTCTGAATTTCTGTTGTTCCAAGTGTTAAAGGTGAAGAAGAATTGGCTTTATTTTCCACTTCAATAGCTTTTGTAGCTGACTGTTGAAAAACACTAGGAGACAAGAGTATTGAAGGAGCTACTGTAGTTGTGGCTGTAACAAACTGTGGAGGTGTGACCTGTAAAAGAACAGAAAGTCAGTGAGCACCACCTCCAGTAGGAATGAATGCTTTATTAACAGACAGAGATAAGCATAAAAAAAATTAAAAAAACCCCACGCTATTACTACAGGTCAGTTCGGTATTACAGAATAGTTATTCATAATGAGGAGGTATCTACCCATGAAGGGTACCTGCCCAAGGGCAGTTCTAATAACTTTAAATTTGTATCTAGATCACCAGATCTTGCTATTACAAAGTTTTGTAGTGGTAAATTCGGTTATTCTTTTCTTCCTCTACCTGCCATTTTACTGTCCTGGTATCTTTTTCATGAAACACAAAGTATCTCAAGAACACTGAAAGACGGCAAGGCAAGGATTACATTTTATGCCTCTTGGGTGCTTAATGCTCAACTGAGGATAATATACACCACAACAATATAGCATAAATACTTAAAACCAAAAACCAGTTCTAATGGTGTTAACGCAAGACTGCAGAGCCAAAAATGTACTTAAATTTCTGCATTTGCACCAACAGTAAGAGGTACTGTAATGTATGACTGACTAATCTTCTGTCCTAATCTTCCTCACTTCAGTACAGCTTGTTTCTGATCCATCAACAGCATTTTAAATATGGTCAAAGTGGACAATATGACTGTATGATATGGCAATGATTACCATCCTTTAAAACATCTTAAATTTTATTTTAAAATCAAACTGAATTTGTTGAAGGGTTTATTCACCTTACCTGACTTGTTTTAGATAAAGTCTTTGTCTGTGGAAATACTTCCGATTCCTTGTTTTGTTGTACAGTCTAATTAAAAAAAAATAAATATATATATACATAAATTACAAGTGAGTATCCGCAGCTCAATTTTTATATAAAGCTGCAAAAATCTAAGTACCAACAGATTTTAGATGTAGTTCATTCCAGTTTGTAACAGTTGGAATTCATTGTTTATACTTTCAGTATTACAGCAAACTCTTAACACAGTTATTAAGAAAGTCTACCACAGTTAAAAAAAAAAAAAACTTTAGTAAAACATTGAACAGGAATCAAATGCATACAAAATGAAGAGTTTAATTAGAGTGTAATCAGTATGGCAAACTGACAGGATGCTAAATTCAGTGTTTTTTCCTAGAAGGTTTATCTAAATCCCTCCACAGAAGTGAAATACTGTTGTCTACTAGATCTCTGTACTTTATATCTTTACAAATGACATCCAGGTATCTCTTTAGTCAGATTTCAAGACTGTAATATAATAAAATTATAGGATTATAAAAGCTTAGAAAACAAACAAACAAAAAGCATGTAGATAAGGTACTTGAATAAATTCACCTTGCATTCTTGGAAAGGCTTGTTATAGCCATTTGGAAAACCTCAACAGAGAAAAAAAAACATTCTCAGGTAAATGATAACCTGTATCTATAATGACAGAAGTCAAATGAGCTTTCTGAAGTGGTTACAATGACAAGATCAAATTGCTAAGACCTAATTAGGCAAGAGTTAGGAAGTCTTGCTAGTTTGAGAGAACATATTTGGAGTATGAAGAACTTTGTCTAACAAAAATACATACACACAATGGACCTCATCAAAGAACAGAAGGGTGCAAGACTAGCACATGAATCGGAATTCATAAGGTTATCAAAGCAGACATTGAATAAATCTAGTAAGAGCAGTTAGAGATACACCTCGACAGCTTTTCTAGATGTTTAAAAACATCATAATCCCAAGTCAAATCTTTACCAAGGTTCACTAGTACATGGAGGAAAGACACTGCTCAGAATGTACAGTTCTTCAACACTAGATCCAGACCGCTGCTCAGTGTTGTACTCTGACCTCCTCCTCTCTGGGCAAAATGGATCAGCCCAAACATCTCAATGGCTTGCAAAATAACCCTAGCATACAGCACTCAAGGCCTTCTTGAAAGTTTTCAAGAGCAGCAGTAGGTTATAAATGGGGTAATTAGAAAGACAGCACAATGAGAGCATGCCCATTTAAAAAAAAAAAAAAAGTGGTAATAATTCTTCTAAAGACAGAAGAGCCACATGTGAAAAATACAGGGCATTTACTGCTTAGGGTGTTACAGGCAGAAGCTTGTAATATATATATATATGTATAAAAATATATAAATATATATATATAATATTATATATATATATATATATATTTAAAATATATTAAAAAAATATAAAAACACAGAGTTGAGCTGTTTGTTAGATCTGTGTTATGAGTAAGTCATCACCATTACCACAACAAAAAATAGTGGTATCAGCTGACCCAGACAAGACTGTTGAAGATTTTGCTGAAACCCAGTGGGAAGCACTGGATAATAAAAAAAAATAGGAAATTCATACAGGTATAGCTGTAAGTAGTTTTGTGTGATAGCTTTTTTTCTTGCATTCTCACTGTCCCTAAGATGCAACACTAACTGACAGAAAATTTAAAACACAAAGCACGAGCATAAATCTTACAGAGTAGCAGTAATATTTCCATCTAGTCTCTCAAAACAAGCTTATTTATTTGGGTTATATCGAGGCACAGACAGTAGATTTGCCTGCAAGAAACAAGTTTAGAAGGTCCTTTAGAAGTGATACTGGGACAAAAGAAACCAAGAGGGTCAATTAGACAGAATAAATCAGTTGATGATCCACGTTGACAAATAACAAATAACATCTCAAGGTAGCCCAGAGGGATTCCCAACAGAAGCGGTCAGTATCAAAGTGTTATGAAACACCCAAAGCTATATAATCTGAATCAGGAGACAATTTCATACTTTCAAAGAAAGTACAGGCTATATTTCCACAGTAGCAACACTCCTAACACCATCTGACCTGTAACCTTCAGTCCTTTCTCAGATCAGACTCAGCAGCACTTCTCTAACCCAAGTATAGGCAAATTCCTGAGGATACATTCATCCACTAATAGCACCAGCCTGAAAAAATTCCTCCTCTGCAGACAAGTCTGTCACTGATAGCAGATGCTAATGACCAAAATTAGATTTTGAAGTTTGCAATTCAGTCACACACATTAGAAGTCCTTTTTTTTTTTTTTTTTTTTTTTTTTTTAGGAGCAATATATAGAAGCACATTTTCAAATGGAAACATTTGAAATATTTGTAGCCAATAATAGCTTAAAGCTTTACAGGTATAAAAAGCCACAGAATACCTGCAGAGAAGGGATTATCTTGTTGTTCAAGGTTGATGGTTTACTGTGCGATTCTTTGAAGCTTTCTGGTGTTGCAAGCTGGCCAACCGAGGCAGAGGTGTTTGGTGTTAAGGAAGTCTTAGTGAGAGACTGCTGCGGCATTTGGTCATGCTGTGGGGTCAACCTGAGTTTCTGGAGAAGATCAACACTTGTATGGGACGTATTTGAGACAGTTCCCGTATTTGTTGATGTCAAGGGTGCTATAAGCTGACTTTGGCCAGCCATTAGATTTTGTGGAGCGTGGTTCACTTCGGATGGTGGCTGATTCACTAGTGGGGATATCTGCTTGGCAGCTTGCTGCATGACTTGCATTAAACTGTTGTTTTGCTTTAGGCCAGGAAGCCTCTGAGCAGGGGCAGCTTCCATTGTTGAGGCTGAATTAAGAATAGGGCTTAAACGAACTGAATAGCTTGAAATGCTTTTTACATCAGGCTGGGAAACTGAAGCTGGAGGTATTAGCATAGGTGTTAAACATTCCTGCTGATTCAAAGGATTGGCACTGATTTTAACGTTTGGACTTTCTGATTTCCCTAGTGGTTGCTGTATTACTGTTGACTGGTCAAAGGAAAAAGGCAAGAGCAAGTTTTGCTGCTCTCTGGCAGAGGTGTCAGTCTGCAACTTCTCCCTTCTCTCTGCATTGGGATACGGAGGTGCAGGCTGTTCCTTTGGGACAGAGGTTCCAAACAGTTCTTCCAAAGTCAGATGCTTTGGCCTCGACTGAAATGTCTACAAAGAAAGGAAAAGGAAGGTTACAGAGTCAATTTAGGAATACCCAAACTGTGAGAAGTACAGTGATGTGTTACAAATTCAAGAAAAGTATGAATACAACTAGGTCAGATACATTTGAAAGACACCAAATTTTCTGTCACTTTTTTTTTTTTTTTTTTAAACAATCATAGTCTCAAGCTAAGCTTGAAGCCAATTCGTCGCTTGTCACTGGACTCTACCTCCCCCAAATTGCACACTTTTCCCTTCAGCTTGCATTATTTTTCTATTCCAAACGCCTCCAACTCTATCTTTAAAAACTTCCATTGCAGTAAGTGTTTACATTCCACCACTTGGCTGGAGTACTTGGGGCTGGGGGAGAATATTCACATTTCTTCAAGCATGACATTAAAACTTGAAGTAACCCATAGCAATCATACAGCAGTGGCACGAGGGCAGGATGCAGCCACAGTAGAGATGCCACCTTCACAGCACTTTCTGTCTCTACATCCTTCTATAGACAGACTGCACTACTAGCACAGAAGGGGGACAGCTCTGGTTTCTGCTATTAAGGTGATGCCTGCCATCACTGATCAACCTTAACTACACAGCACACTTGGTTGGGGGGAGGGGGAGGAGGGGCCAAGGAACAACATATGTTTTGAACCAATGCCATGCAGAATTTATAGTACTGTAAATAATTAAATGGTCTGAAGGATGGGAAATAAAAAGAGAAGCCTGAAGGTAAACAGCTTATCTAGCAGTACATGCCTAGACAGTTCTCCCATTTTCATCAACATTGCAGTGGATGTCACCATAAGTAAAAGAATCTGTAAAAACCTAAAAATATGTATTAATTTCCTTGAAAAGCATGTACATGTACACATGAACACACTGACCCTTGAGTCTCTTACACAAATATACATCGAGCCTACAGCACTGACATTGCTAGAAAAATCTTAAGGACTTTCTATTCCTAATATTTTGCCTTACTAAACAGCATTCCCTACATTAAAAGTCAACACAAGGTTAGCAAAGAATGGCTGTCTACTAGGAGTTTGTGTAGTATTGTTTTCCCCCCCCCAACCAAGTTATCTTGTGAAAAACAGTCACCCTTTAACTATCAAAATAGATGTTGGCTTAACAGAGGGAAAAAATGCTTCTTTCCTTATTTGAGAAGAATCCATAGGAAAACAGGATTCCTTGCTGAACAGGAAAAATAGCAGAAGTACTAACAAGGCAACCAAGGTAACACAGTAATAAAAATAACCCAAGTGACTCGTCCTCACTTTCTCCTTCAAAGGAAAACAATAACTATCAACAGAATGAGAAAGCAAATTGATAGAAAAAAAAAAAGTAGGGTTGGCTAGGTCTCCTTGCGTTTCAGGTGTTGAAGAGACAATACAACACAGTTCTGAATTACTTAACAGATTGCAAACATTTTTAAAATGCCTTAATAAAAAGAGATGATCACAGCTAATTAACCACAGGCTCCTGTATACCATTTTGCAGGGGAAAATAATGCGTTTTCTTCAGCAGTATAATGAGAGAGTCTGAGTTAACCCCTTATGATACACCTGCCAGTTCTACCATGAATTACTCACAGTTTATTCCAAGCCAGCCATTTTACAGCAGGTATTTTAGCTGAATTAGTTTAAAATGCATTTTTCTAGTGAGAAAAACAGCTACTAACACCCTTATGTTAAATTTTCCTGCTTTTTTAGGTTGTGCAGGAAGTTACATAAAACAGCTGGACTAAAACATGACATTCTGTTCAGAAGAGTGAATGGCCCGCAGCGAAATTCCAGTGCCTTGTGACGGTATGTCTAAACAAAGACACTATTTCACAATGACAATTACTGCACCGCGACATTGCTCTGCTCGTTCCAGTGTTACTAACATTGGTAAGGGCAACGAAGGAATGGCAGCACTGGTAGCATGCAAGCTGCCTGGCAGTCTCAAGCTTGAAATCACATTGACTTCTGCCAAGGTTACTAACTTGTGCTGCTGACACTACTGATTTATTATTATTATTATTATTATTATTATTATTATGTTAAGAGAAAATGACTACTCTGCATCAACTCTGCTTTTCACCTCCATTTGAGTAACTGACTGGCTTTCTTTTATTAATACATTAAAATTTTCACCTAATGAACACGAATCTCTGCCGTGCTCTGCACGCAGTCAGATTAGCCCCTTACACATAACACATGACACATACAGCTTGAAACATGAAGTTCATTCCCAACCTGAGGGATAAAACACATCTTGTGCTTGACTCATCTCTGGCTGAGGTGTATTTTGGACATGTCAGCAACTCACTGTGTTATGGACACCCTTCTCCGCAAGGGGTTGGAAAAAAGGCAACAAAATCCATTTACTTGACAGGAACAGAGTGCTGCCCAAAGGGTTTCTCCGGGAATTATTTCAGATATATCGAGGCATGGGAATTAGCAGTCATAGCTGGCACATGACATTTCACTGTTCTAGTTATATTTTTGTGTTGGTGATGAGCAAAATTAATTTCATAATACAGCTCGTTTTCTTTTTGAACTGCCAGGGTACAGAACTTGAACTTCAGAATATCATATGACATTTATTTTTTCTTCCCAAATCTGTGATGTCTTTAGCATGAAGTGAAGGTAGTCAATCAACATACAGTTATGACATTTTGGAAGGGTTTCAGGATCTCACAGTAATTATTGTATATATACTAGTTTTTAATTTCAATGGTTATCTGTTTTAATTAGATGAAAAATGTATTCTTACAGTTCAAATAACATTTTTTCCAGTCCTCTTCTAGTAGTCCACATTATTAAAAATGAAATTATGAACAAACATCTTGGTGCTGTATTTGAACCCAGCTAGCTTTACACTAGTAAAGCTGGTAAATTATCACTTAGATAACACAACTTTTTCCTGCATCTCCACAGCTATTATTTTAAATAGCTCAACAGAAGAGACACTAGAACACCACTTCACCTGCTCTGTAAAACTGTAGTTTCCCTTGAAATACTTTAAAGTAATGTATTACAATCTTAGAATTTTTAGAAATTTAAACATTAGAATTTATAGATTTTTTTTTTCCAAGAAAAACTTTGAAATTAGAATTTTTCCTTAGCTAGTTTCTACTGCTCTGCAAGCTCATGCACTGTCAGGCTGGTCACTTCAGCTGATCACACATGCACAGCCTCCACACAGCAGCCAAAAAGAAGATTTCTTCTTTTAAAAGCAAGACACAACCCTGTTGCCAGGCCTCAAGATCAAGCATGCAGCAAGCACAACTGGCTGCCAGGGGTCAGTCTATCACTTGTGCTGGTCCAAAACCAGAGGTGCTGCTGAGAGGGCAGAAGATGCCATGAGAGCCAATAATCCTTGCAAGTTTCCCCTCACCCTGTTTTAACACACTGATTGTTATTACCCCAGCCCCTTAAACAGGTTTCTGCTACTCATACCGTAGCCCTAACCTGTACTAGAAATTATTTATTTTTACTAAAAAGTAAGTATGTTGTTTACAATTACTAAATGCAGTGTTGCACGCATTTTCCTAGGGCATTTTCCAGAGGCAGTGCTTTATTGCATCCAAAACACAACAATAAGCTAGGACAAGGAGCTGGAGGCACACACTGTGGGGCATTTTCTGGAGAGGACCACTACTGACCTTTCTGTCCCCACTGGGTGGCACTGTAAGCAGGCACAAGTTACTGATGTGTTAGAAAGCATTTAGTTGTTGCAAAAATTATTAGTATTTTTTAAAAACGAACCTCCAAGAAGCACTGTATGAAGCTATACGTCCCTTGTGCATAAAGGCAATGGAGCCAATTACTGAACTATCACTGCCTATATTCCAACCACTCCAGTGATGACACTAATTATTTTTATAACAAGTTTCCCATGGTTCATCAACAACATTTACATGAAGCATGTTATTTTCACTAGCATTTTTACAGTAGTTTAATCTTTAATTACAGAAGTAATACTAGGCTTTAGAATTTGTAGGTATCTGGATACATGCTGATTGAACACGTATCTAATAATTATCTGACAGACATCTAAGCACTGTATGTGCACTAGAATTACCATAAATTTGAGCAACATCCCTCACTGGCATCACTGAAACAATTCTGGAAGATACTGCTTAATGCAGAGGAAGGAATACACTGTCAAAAAAGTCTAAACAAAACCGAACAGCAACACAACACCTCTCCCATGATATATATTAATCAGGCAACTTGAATTTGATCATACGAGCAAAGGTTAAACACAAGCTACAGAAGTATGGGAGAAGACGGGTATGCACACATTCAGTAACTCCAAAGAGAATTTAGTGCTCCGTGACAGAAGTACTTTCTATTTTTTGTCTAGCAACTGACTGATGATTTCATTTAGCAGGACTGTAGCTACAGCTTTAAATGCAGCACTGACAAACTAAGTAAACGTCTCAGACACAGGAAGACAGTCCTTCAGTTGCTGTTTGAAAGACTGCAACACAGTGTACAGTGAACAAATGCCATATTCTCTCTGTCAATTCAACAGGGGTAATTTTTATTTGCTCCCTTACTCAGAAGTCATCCTGCACAGGTGTCTCTATACTATCATGGACTGACTTACAGAATCTGAGTTAGCCCATTTAAACACACTTTTATATTGACAGGAGTGTGGATACAGCCTCATATTTAAACATTACGGCAAAAAAAAAAACAGAATTTAGGCTCTTTAGAGTCTTCAGACCCATTAGTTTATCTGAGGGGGGTGTGGGCAGCAGGAAACATACCAGCTGATCTTCAACAAGCATAGTGAAGAGAAATGAGAGTAGATATTAAAACCAATTCTAAACTGCAGTTAAACTTACAAATTTATTTTCATGATGAAGCATCATACATTCAGCAAGATGATACTTCTATTCCAAGAAAATATTTTGGTACCAAAACAAAGTGCTAAATGAAGTAACACACTATTTAGATTTGGATGACACTTACCTGATCTTGCACTTGTATTGAAGGTTTTTGCTCTGAAGTCTCTGTGCTTTCTGACTTCAGGAGATTTGCATTTTGTTGCATTCCAGAACTTGACATAATACTTAAGTCACTGATCTGATTCTGGGGGGGAAAAAATAAAATTAAAAAAAATTACATAGCCACAGGAGCTCAGCCACTACTATAGTTCTGCTTAGGTAGCACTTGGGCTGAAATCCAGAGGATGTACAGGTTAGTAATTTTCCTGTCAGACACTGTAAAATTCACAAGTTTCAGGAAAAAATATACCAAGTAATACAATATCTGGTAAGTGTTCACAATACTTTTATTCTGTATTATCAAAAAAAGACAACTGGTTTTATACTTTTTTCCACTGATAAATAAAGGCAGACTTTTCACACTTTGTATTAGCTGCTAACATGGCCATTAAATTAAGAACTCATGCTAGAAACAACTTAGCATGCTAGAAACAACTTAGAAAAAAGTCCTGTCAGAAATTCTTCTAAAGTGACTGGAAGAAGAGCTTGTCACTGACATATTTCCACCAGATTTAAATAACCACATGCATGTACTTCCACTAGGCATTAATTGGTTTTCCTGTGAATAAGGCAAACTAGCCAAGGAAGTTGTAGTAATAGACCATACGTTTATGGATTGAATTGACTTCCTTCTTTACTAAATATATATATTAACAAAAATAAAAACTGTATTAAATTTTAAAGCACTAGTGAAAAAATGTAGAACCAGTCTAGCATAAAATAGGTAAACTATGTTTATGATACAGCTGAACATCAGCACATCAGAATCTCTCCTCACTTACCTGACAACTACAAAATATGAGAAACCGTAGCAGTAAGTTAGAAACAATCTCAGCTTATTATTGTTTTGTTTTAAATTTCAAATTGCAAGTGATATAAACAACATCAGGACCATATGTTGTTATTTAGGGACAGAAGGGAGAGAAACAATGGCTGCCTTTCTGTAGTTTAGCCATTAATTCAAAAGGTTAAAACTCTTTGAGCCTGAAATGGTTGACGGCCTTGCAGCTACAAAATCAAAGCCTAGTTTTTCCTTTTCACTAGAGGATAAGCTGCTATGTTTTCTCAGACTGAAACACACACACACGAACACTATAAAAAACATCCATTCACTTCATTAAAAAAATATCTCCATTCATTTTCACATATGGACTTGATGGAGCGAGTACTTGAAGGATTAAGCTGATTTGGAATCCTAGATTAAATCACTCAGACTTCCATAAATCTCTTTTTCACTCTCTCTGCCCCCTTCTCATGCTGACACTCTGCCAATCTCATGTGGGCTGCACACAAGGATTACTGTATGATCCATCTGGAACGTACCAGGCAGATAAGTACTTTCTGCTCCTAAATACAAATTCATGCATAATTACTGAACACCATAAAATAGTAATAAAAAAAAAAATCAGACAAGAAAGGTCTCTCAAGAAGCCACCATCCAAGTTAGTTACCTAATCGTATTACCTTTGATGTGTGCTGGCCACAAGGACTTCCAAAATCGATGTGCCTGAGGTTTGTTGCTAAAGGTGAGGTGACCAACAGAACATCCTGCGGGAAGTTTGCCTGAATCACAACTAGCATTGTTCATTTCTGTTTACTGAGCAATTTCTACAACACTACACTTGTAGCAGCCTATGGGATTAAGTGGGGTAGATTCAGTTTATTGCTCATCTACATGCACACAAAATGAAATAACGTCTCTAATAATATAGGTGATCTAAAAGCATCAAGAAGTAAAATCAAGACTGAGAGGCAAAAAAGCTAATTTATGTAGTATCTTTACTGTAGCCTAGTCCATGCCCCATGTATTTCCACACTGTATGACAGCTGCCACTGCCCAGTTATCAGTACTTGTCTACACAGATGCAATCATGACACTTCTGAACTTTGTTTCTAGCAAAAGGTTTTCATTACTCTCACACACAGACCTCGAAATTCAGAGAGGAGAAGCTAGAATATCCTGAGTCATTTTTAAGAACCATCTGTTGGAAGTGTGTATCATCCGATATTGCAAGAACAAAGAAGGAGAAAGACTTCATTACACCCTAACAGGCCCCTACCAGAACAATTTCTGTTTTTTCGTTCTGTTTTTTTTTCAAGCCTTCCATTCCTCCAGATCTGTCTCAATTGATATAACATTGAAAGATGAATCATTCAGCTTTCGATGCTTCTTTCTGTGCTCTCACAAAAGCTGCCACTTTCCCAATGTTGGCTTTCATACAAAGACACGTTCTCCTCAAACAGGATTAATGTGCTGAGAATTAGCTTTTGTTTGGACCTATATTAAAACATTCTGAAAATACATTATTGATTTTCCGAAACTAGAATATAGACTCAAATATATCGTATGGTCTGTCACTTTCACCTGTCCTTTATGTCAGAAAGCGACAAGATAAGCAGGTTCATCATACATAGTTTAGCCCACGTGTTCCTTCCTTCCTCCTCATCCCACATGGTAGCAACCTAGAATCCTACAAAGACTCAAAACAATTATTCCAAGGAACTCCAGTGTCCCACTACACAAGTTCAAGAAGAAATGAAGAACTCTAGTGATGTGCTAACCCTTCTCCCACCAGTACAGCTGCAAACCATATTGTATCTCTGCGATATATTATAGCTACACATTACTATTGTACATCCTTGTGTTATTGCACTCACAAAGAATCTTTGTTGCCTTTTTTTTTTTTTTTTTTTTTAATATCTCCCACAGATTTCTCTTACATTTGTCTTCCATGTATGAATTTGGTTCTCAGGACTATATAAAGTAATGCCTTCCCAAGAGATCTAATACTTTCCTTCATCATGTAAACTTATGAATTTAGTACTGGCAAAAGACACCAGACTCACCATTCCGGTATCAACTTATTAAAAGAACAGACACACAATAGACAGGATTGAGTAGTACACCAGGGAACAGAAGGAAAATGTTATATGCTCATCTACAGCAATTAAAAATATGCTTCACTGAGTTTACATGTACTGAATGACTAAATCTCTACCCTCTAACACCACGTCTTTTTTTTTTTTTTTTTTTTGACAGTAACTGAATGCTGACACTGTTGGGTACAATTTTTGTTATTCCTAGAGACAAAATTTTCCTCACAGCAGTAGAAACTGTTGTAGAATTGGTCTATCAAGCTCCATTTTCAAGTTGGATCACAGAGTTGATATTGGACTTCTTCCTCCTACAGTGTACTTGAGGGAAGGAACAGCAGCATTCTGAAAACAAGACCACTGGAACAATGGCAGAGAATGCCTTCTCTTTAAACAAAACACAGTTACGTTAAAAACTACTTACCATACAGGCTTTCTTAAGAATGAAAAAAAATGAACAGTTTGGCAGAGTTGCCTACTAAGCTAAAAATTATGGAAATAAAGCTTATGAACTTATCCAACAGGCAAACTCTACACTTCTTAAAAATATTTCCCTACAAAACCTGCTCCCCATAAGTCACTGTACATCTGTGCTTTTATCACAGACATGGGAGAGTTTACAGCTTCAGGGCTTTTATAATATTATTTAAGATGCCAAAGCATTTTGGTATGCAACCCAGTGAATGCTGTTGATTATGCCATGAATCATAGCCGACCTCCTCCAGTGATTTTCAGTACAATGGAAAAAAAAAGAAAACCTGAAGTGTTAGCTACTATAAGAAATGTTTACGGAAGTGGAACTTCAGAATCACAGAAACAGACACTGTAATCTATTCTTCTGCAGTGTTACATTCATTCTGTTCATCTTTCCTTTGCTAATGATCTCACAAAATAGGACAATGGTTGAATACTGAGATTAAGCAGCCCATGCACCTGTTTTAGAACACCGTATTTATTGTGTTTGCATTTCTAGGTACCCATTTTTAAAACTCTACTTCTTTCCCCTTAGGAGGCAGCAATTCAAACATACGAAATTTCAGGCCCATTGAATTACGGATTAGGCGCGCTGCTTTGTGATCTTGGGTTAGAGTATACTCAATTGTCCTGTGGAGCACGTGAGGATCCTTCTCCATCACTGCTCTCAGAAGCCACAAGGCGTGCCATTTCAGCAGACTCCGTGAGGCCCTGACCACCTCACTGAGAAGGGAAAGCAGTGTTTTTATTCATTCATAGCAGAATAAAATTAAGACATTTCCTTACTCGTTCATATTCATCCTTGGCTTTACTAAGCATTTCCAGGATGTCAATAGGCCTGTTTTTACTGCAGCCATTTGTTCTGCTGGGACTTTTTCTGTCCTGGGAAACTTGCTGTGATCTCTGAGCTTCTTGTTCTACCACTCTGCAACAGGAAAGGAGAAATGGTTTTTCACAATTTTTATCTAGCATGAACATTTTGCAAAAAGCAGGAAAGAAAAACATTCTCCAAGCATATAAACATGTTTTGTTCTGCTTGAATGAAAACTTAACACTGAGCTGACCAAAGCTATACAAGTTTTAATTTGCTACAAGGTTTATGCAAGTCAAGCTGTCAAATGGTCTGTATGATTTACCTCTAATCCAGACAGCACTGGTCTATATCTCAAAATTTGCCTGCAGTAAACCCTACTTCTGTAGACCTGTCACATTTAGAATTTTTTTTTTTTTTTACAATAAAGCATACAACATGCGTTTGGATGTCTGCATAAGCAGCACGTGTACTATACCACAGACTGAGTAGACTGTGTATTTTTTATTGTTTACTCTGTAACATGCAGTTTTTCCATATTTAGCTATATTAAGCCATGTTGTTCAACTAAATTGAATACAAACCAGTTCTTATTTAGGACGAGACCTACCATTAGAAAACAAAACGAGTAAAGGCAGCATACATTTCTACTCCTAATCCACATACAGTTCACAAGATGTACATGGCTGTGCAATGCACTAAAGCTTATTCTCTTGAAATAAACACACACCAGCCTGTAATCCCCTCTTTTTTAAGCCTGCATTAATCAAATATGTTAAGAAAAAACAAGCACTGTAAGCAGGGCAGAGCTCTACAGCTGGCACATCACTTGAAAACTCTCATGCTGTGGAGCTGATGGAGGAGTTGAGGTGCCACCAGAGCAATCACAGAAAGAGTCAATCATCCAGCCTCCAGCTTCTTCTGGTCACTTAGGACTCAGGAATAAATCTAGATTTTAGACTGTTCACTAAATAGATATTTCTATGTACCTCTATGTTATCATTCCTGAGGAAAAAAATAGAGCAAGCGTTAGAAGATTCCTCCCATTTTCCTAGCTGCCAAGACCGTTTACTTCACTAGAGTTCAGCTGTGTTTATTTGAAGAAAGATTAGACAGTGCTTTTTTTTTTTTTTTTTTTTAAAGAAAGAAAAGAAAAGATAGCTTTTAACAGTACAGCATTGTCCAGGAAAATGAGTTACAAAACTTTTAATTATACAAGATGCTTATTGAAGTAGCTTCTCATTATTCTTTGAATACTATACAGCTTCCTCTCTGTTTGCAGGCAAGCACTCACCTGCGAGCATAACTCAGGATCTGGAGGCCAATCTACTCTGTCAGTTTCTATGAACTGCAGCATGTGCTGCTTTGGATGAAGCAGCTCAATACTGCACAAATGTTTCTATGGTGACACCACGAGAGAACATTTTGTTCTAGCACCCCACATGGTCATACAGCCCTGACTTAGGACTTGTCTATACTCAAATCCAAAACTAGGGATGAGAAAAGGCAAGATGAAAGAACCAGAAGGCTTTGCTCAGATTTAAGTGTCAGCATGGCTGCATCAGGAAACATAAATACTTTGGCTAAAGAGCAATTTCTGGGCAGCTGAAGTCATGCATGTGCTGCCCTGTAGACAAAGGGACGGCTTGAGTCTCCGAGCCCTCTTTCTGTTCATTAAAAACAGTTCCAGAAGATTTCAACAAAGTATCTTTCCATTGGAAATAGTTCTAATGGTCTCATAGCGAAATATTTTCAATGATTAAATCCATTTCACAGAAGTGCTTCAGAAATATTTCCACAGAACATCTCTATTTTCTTCTGCACATTATCAGGGGTATGCTACCTTTGTAATAGTTCACTTTTTGTTAAAGAATGAAAATGAAATTATCTCACGTAGATAAGTGCCTAATTGTTCTTCCTCCATTTCCTGTCTTATGCAGGTTACATTCAGATGATGGCAGTAGGGTAAATGTGAAGCAGCACCCCTTCCAAACTGTCCCAGATAAAGGCAAAACATCTGGAAGCGGGAGACTATCTCAGAGCCCAGCTGAGGTCTGACAGTTAAAATAGGGTAGAACAAGCCAATAAACCAACTTCAAAATAAGAAAATTACAATGTACACATCAGAATACAATAAAGTCTCCCAAAGACTTATGTCCTACTACTTCTAGGAAGCTTGTCCTTCATAAACAAGTATTTTAACTTGACCCAAATTTATTTCTCCTCAAGTTAGCAGTTTGAACACTTGGATAGTCTTTTCATTAGTATAGAATCTTTTCATTGTATAGAATTTTCATTCCAGAAAATTCTAGATTTCGTTTTTAAAATAAAAAATTCTATAGATCAAATGCCTTTTCCTGGGGTAAAAAGTCAAAAGAAAAAAACCTCTACGAATGCAAATCTGTAAACCAAGCATGCTCTGTATGCAATCAGGATTAAATCTTTTTTAAGCAAAGCCTGATATAATGGAAAGAAAAAGCAGACAGTGGAAGAGACACACATTCCTTCAGGGACACAGAAGTGGCTGTGACAGTTTGTTCAAGAATATCTGCAGTTACAGCATTGAAAATATACCTGGCACAACCTCACAGAAGAGCAGGGAAGGGGTGGAGAGAGAGAGAGACAGAGAGAGAATGTGAGAAGTGAAGTTGTGTGATTACAAAGCCTATGAAGAGTAATTTACTTTTCTTTTGAAAGATAAGCCACCAAAATATAAATGGATGGCCTGCAATCTTGTTAACTCAATCTGGCACAATAAGGTCAACTCAAACAGCAGGAAAGAAAAAAAAAAAAAGCTTGAAAAAAAAAAAAAAAGCTTGAAACCTTTTATGGTTATGTTTTTGAAGCTCTGAGATACTCTAAATGCAGTCCTCTTTCCTGTAAGTGATACAGGACACCCCACCTAAGTAAAAGGCACCAACAGGCAAAATCCAAGTTTCTGCTGCTAACAACAAAAAATGTGAAACTAAATTGATACTCAAAGATAAACAACTATTGGAAAATCCACTGAACTAAGCCTGCTGGGGCCCACAACCATGTGACAAAGCTCATTCTCTAAAAAGGATTATTATTATTATTATTATTTAATTAAAGGGCATACTTTATTTTTTTGAAATACATTTTTCATCCCAGGCTGAAACAATCCCTGTAGTTTCAAAAGAAAGGACACGTAAGCATCAGCACTTTTCTTCTCACTGCTTTCTACCCATTTGCAGGGAGAGGAAGCTTGATGTCTGTAGAAACTCATGTCAGCAAAACAGTTTCAATCCACTTTTCATCAGGTTTGTAACAACAACCTCAGAAATGCAATTTTGCCCTTCTACAGCAACGTGCAACTACAATGCCTTCATTCCAGTTTCCCTAGCATTCATCTTTAGATTCTCAGAACCTCTAAGACACATGGTACCAAATGAAGTATGCTTTCATTCTACAGGACTTTTAAAAAAATATTCAAGTTGATATACTTGCAGTAAATGCTTCTAAGTATAGTAATGGATTCAGCAAATTCTTTTGTTACCCCTACATCTATACACAGCTATCAAGAAAAAGAGAGCCAAGAGTATTTAGACATTCTACATACTAGTAATAGGGAAAGGCTTTATGAAATATACTCTCAGGTAATCAAAGACTTATTACCAGCAATATGCAGGCTAGTGAATATCACAACCTTTTTGACCATGTTAATAGCAGCAACAACTAAAAACCATTCTGAAGAGAGGTCCTAGGAAAGCTCAGAAAAACTTAACTGTATTCTGTCAATATCCAATCAATTACTTTTTCTATCTACATGTTTGATTTCTGTAGTTTCACTCGCCTAAGACTGAAGAAGTAACTATGGTCCAGACACATTCACAAAATCTGCTTGATGTGTTAACCCATTTCCAAGATATGCCTAATCCACAGTCACGCCAACACCTAAATTAGCGATTTGGTTTAAAATGATGTTCATCCTATGTCTACTTTACATATTATTAAGTTCTGCCTGTCTTTAAAATGTCATGACTTACAAGACATGATGTGCTGATTAGAGCACACAGAGAAGGTGCAGGAAAGTAAAGAGTGATGGTGCAGAAAAACAAAGCAGAGAACACAGGAAGAGAAAATACCCTGAGGAATACATCTGTGTTTTGCAATTTTGCAATTTTTGCTAGCATATGAACACACTGCCACACGCTTTAAAACTTTCCTTTTACAAAGAACATAGAAGACTCACTTAAATGAATTCTCATCCTCTTCTATAAGCAAGGCTTAATCAGCAACACACCTCACCTGAAGGAACAGAAGCAAGAATACTCTCTCTACCCTACACTCACTACATTTTAAGTACCTCAGCTTTCCTTGACCTCTTCTGTTCACCCAAACTACTGAAGCCATGCCAGTGCAACCACGTACAGCACAGATAGGCTAACTGTACTGCTACACGGATAGTATTTTAACAACTAACAATGCCATGTGTCTGCAAACACAACTTGAAGGTTTCTTTAAACAGACATCATTTCCAAAGTTCTCCCGCTGCATGGCCTCCACACTTCTAAGAACCTCAGGAACCATAAAGTGACATGTCAATTTTATAAACTGATTTATCTCTTGAGAAAGAAGAAAAGCATTAATAAAAGTTGAATAACAATCTAGAAGTTTAGCAAGAAGTTCCTTTTATTTCATAGTTCAGTCTACACTCCTAACACAGAATCTTGCAGAATGAAAAACTATATCCTTCTCCCACTTTCCTTCATTTTTTTTTTTTTGACTTTAGTCAGGAATAATAATCAAGCTTTTAAAACAGGAAACGACCCACCACCAAACCAAACACAAAAAACACAGCCCTTATTTATTTGCCTTACACTTTCTGCTTCAGAGAATCTTCTACCAGGGTATTACTCTCCATTAAGCATCTCGATACTAAATACAAGTATAAGATAATAAACAGGGCTTATGTTTGCACTCTTCAGAGAAGGCCAATTAATACTTCAACTGAATTCTTTATTACTTAAAAAAGCCTTAGTGCTATAGTTTTGATTATTAACAGACCCCAACAGCAGCAAGAACTTTGTATCTCTCAATTTAAGGAGAGAAAAAATCACACATGTAATAGGTTCAATTTTTGCCTGAAGAAGAATTCTGAAAAAGAATTACAGAGTAACAATCAGGAGTACTTACTTAGCCATGAGTTTTGCTATTCGATGACAGTCATTCTTGTCGTAAAACCAGATACTGTAAATTGACACTTGAAAAGAAAAAAAGGGAAGTGTAAGACAAGGGTTGAAAGAATAAAAATAAATCAGTAGAAAGGAAGCAAAAACCAACAGCTCATTAGCCTAGTAATGTATGAGTTAACATCAATTTCCACTCAAATATTCTCTGCATGACCAAGTACCATTTATAAAGTAATTACAAATAGCATGCGGGTAAACACAAATACAACGTAAAACAAATTAAATGGACAGACTACAAAATGCTGATCCTTGTTCACGGGTAGAAGAGGCAAGCAAATGAAGTTTCACATTCCAGATGGCTTCCCACTATGGTTGCAACCTCCTATTTAGAATGGCAGATCTTACCATTACACTAGGCTGAAGAATATCCACATAGTTTTTGAACGCTCATTTTCCAACACTGCCAGGTTTTGAAGTTCAACAGAAGCATTCAAGTTTGAGTTGCAGTATGACAATTCAGTCACAGGCTCTCTCTAAAGGTTCCCTCTCCTAATTCTTTTCATGAGAAGCGGTTGTACAGGAAGGGAGTGATAACAACGCTCCAGCTGTACTGTCACATTCACAGAGCAGCAGATTCATACTGAACCCTGCTCTTCGAAGGCAGCAATGACAAACCAGCAAGGGCAAAAAGATTCCAGCTCCGCAAGACACCCAGGACAACTCTGATTTTCAGGGCAAGTACAATTCCACTGAAACTTGGCGAAGTTTGAGCCTGATCACTCAGTGAAAAACATGGCAGAGCAAGAAACACGGTCAGCAGTGCTACATACTATTTCTTCATCAGCAGCCCCACTTTAAAGATGCCATTTTCACCCAAATACATCCTCATCTCCTCATTGTCCCCACAGTTGTGCCAACACAACAAATCTGCAAACTATTCTCACAATTGTATTCGATCCAATTCACACAGCAGGTGATTTTAAATCCTGGTTCATCTATGAAATTTACCAGTGCAGAGTGTGCAAGTACCTCAAAGGCGATTAGACACCTGACATATGTTACCACTGAAATATTTTCATTCCTGAAGGGATATTTTTAGCCTTTTAAAATTCAGCTTTATAGCACAGTTCATGCCAATGTTTTCATTAAGTTGAAATCCTTACAGAAAAGTAGAGTTAAAAACAAACACACTACCTTTCCTAGCTGGATTTACATTTAATTTCGGTTTTTTGTTGTTGTTGTTGTTTTAAAAGACAAAAAACACCCCCCCCAAAAAACTCAAAGTCTCAACAAAGGCCTACTAAAGGTTATTTAAGCCACAGCAAAGACTGTGATTATTTACCAAACATAATTTTCTAGAACTTCCAGTTATCCTAGCCTTGCTGTGGTGGACCAAGGAAGTCATGCCTATACCTCACTTCTATAACAAAATCTTAAGACAAGCTGAAGAAGACTTTGCTTCCTATGTTTTTTTCTTTTTCCTTAAGTAACTATAGTCATTTAACTTTCTTTGCAAGTTCCAGATGAAGTAATAGCCAATAAAGATTTTCTAGCCATAAAGAAATAAATAACAACTTAAATAGCTTAACAATTTAAGCTATTTTCTCCTTGCAAAACACATAAGCCAATTGACATTGCCAGCATTTACAAAATATTTATGAAAATTTATCACCTCATACAACTGGACTGTTTACTGCATTGAGACTTGACAGCATTTCAGTGCGAGATGTTTCTTTAGTCACGTAGGATATTTTAACACTAAAAAAAAGCTCTTTCCCTTCCCTGACTCCTGTATCAGTTGAACTACTAAAGGAAGAAAGCTTCTTCAAAAGCATACTTGCTGAAGAAATTAAGATAAGGAACCTATAACGATATCTTAATGGGATAAGTGATAAGAGTCACACACTATTCTGCCAGACACAGGCCTACACAAGACCTGAAGCTGATTGAAATCTCAGCTCTGCCTACAGAGTATCATTTTTCTCTTTACTTTGTACTACTGGCAAACAATCACAGGGAGTCACCACAAAACATCAGCAGTACCACAAACTTCTAAAGCAGATTATGAACAAGTGAACTTGGGCATTAAGTTTGATATGGTCTGACGGACTGGAACAATTACCTCCCTCTTTTCAGAAGAGGACTCATCGGTACCCTCAGTTCAGCTCCCTTGCCCCAGATATCTCCAAACTTTCTGCCACAACTGCCCTACTACATTTGATGTGTTTAACATGCATGCAACCTCAGCTATGAACATCCTTGCATTAGGACTTGGTACTTCCCAATTCTTTTGCTATCCATGATCTTACTACACCCAGCAGAAACACCAGCTGAACGTTTGTATGCCTGTGTTTGTATGGCACGTCTTTCTACTGCAGCTCTCTAATATTAGTTTCAGATAAATTGGCTCATTTTTCCAACTACTTTAACACTTTCACTCTAGCTTTTCTACACCAAACGCTGGGCAGCATCTTCAGTAATCAAGTAGAGACAGAGTGTAGTCATCGTAATCCTTTGGTGGCATTCACATTACACTGACACACATGAAGTCATAAGTAATCCTTAACCACGGCCAAACCAGACTTGATAAAATTAAAATAAGTCAGTTATCTTAATCTAAATTCTTCTTGGACATTAGATACCTGGGCAAGTTAATTACATCACTTTTATTAAAAGCAGTGACTCATAAGTGTTAATCAAAATGTGTAATGCCAGTTTCTCATGCTGGCTCCTTCTCTGTTGTGCTTCCACTGCTTCAAGGAGCAGTCAGATCACCGCTCCAGCACTGTCCAGCTACCAGAGCTGACTTTGGAGTGGAGATAGCCGAGTGCTACAGCAGGACAGAGGCCATACTCTGGCAACTTAAAGTAAGGCTTCATGCCACAGCTGCAGTTGCACTTCAGGTTTCATTTCAAGTTAGGGGAAATAAACAGTGTCGCCACCCTTACATTCTCACAACTTTGCCATGACTCAATTTACCCCAATCCACCCTCTCCCTTATGTCAGCCGAGTAAACTTTAATCCAGACCAGTTCCCCGATATTGTTTGCAGATCAGCTCAACAAACATGCCATCTGGTACCAGAGAAACGACAGAAACAAGAAGCTGAGGGCTGCACAGTAAGGCAAAATGGTTAAAATGTTCATGTAATACCATGCCAAAAGGAAAAGTATACGGGATTCGTCAGCAGCACCACTTTGAGAGATTACAAACTACCACTCTCTTGCTTCAACCAGGTTACCATTTGTGCAGATATAGCTTCACCTCATCCAAAACAATGATAAGTTGTAAAATGGATCATAACTAGCTGGAAGAGCTGATGGGAAGAGAGAAAAAAATTACAGTTTTAATTCAGATGTTATCCCACAACAACTGGAAGTGGAAGACAATATCCCTTCCAGCTTCCTCTGCAAATAAATGGGTTCATATGTTGAAACCACCCTAAAAAGAAATCATGGAAGATAACCAAATCTCACTCCCATTAAAACAAAAAGCTGATACATACATCATTTTACACCTCAAATAGAAGACAGGTGTATAATCTCTCTCAGTGCTCATATTTCTTTCAGGAGTAAGATTAGCTGAAATGCCATCCCCCCCCCAGCCACTGTGCTCTGATCTCTTCCTCATTCACAACTCTTTATTTTTTTCAATTTAAATATTAGACTGTCACACAGATTTATAAGTCATTACAAATAATTTTAAAACATCCCTCCCCTTCTTATTGCTTTGAATATCAAAAGCTACTTCACAAATAGCGTTCACAGCACAACCCCACCAGCAGCTGCACTGGAGTAATTCAGCAGGTGTCAAACAGCAGCCACGTCCAGGATCAGGAACACTGGAACACACTCCCATCTGACAAAGCACGACCAAGAACGAGAGGGATTACCAGTACACAACACCGAACTAGAGCAGAAAACCCCTACTAGTTCGAATGCCATTTTTCAGGTCAAACAAAATATTTTTAGCACTGCTTAGCAGCTTTCAATGGTTCTTCCCCTCCCCCTTGCTCGCATTGCTGCTTCTGCTGTAAAGGTATCAAGAACAGGCTCCTTCCTTATCTCGGACTAAAGCACTGGGTTAATGCGCTTGCTGGAGAGCCCTTCAGCTGCGCCAGCTGCAGAGATGTGTTATGTTCACTGCCTCACGAGTTGGGCGGGAGGAGAGGGGGAGAATATGATGAGATACTTTCCTTAACTGTTAAGATTCCCTGATTCGAAACCAATCAGAAGCTCCTGCAAAGAATTTAAAAAGCCATTTGAAATCAAGCAACTCACTTTTGGTTTGCTGTTCTGAATACAAGTGTTTATCATTAATGATAACGCAGGATGACAACACTTTGTACCCAACTTTTACATTTCAAAGTATAAACCTCCCCAGATCTATTACTTTTGTTTCACTAATTCTAACTTTTGGATAAAGAATAAGAAGAAAGGGGAATAAACCTATCAAACAATGACCATTTATTTTACTTTTTAAGTTTTACACTTGGCATCTGCCCTTTCAGAACCATGGAAATAAATCTGCCTGACCTTCCAAAAGAACTAGCTTGGATTAAAAAGCCTTTTAATCAAGACCAACACCACCAATACAGAGGGAAAGTTAAAAACGAGAAGGACTTAGAAGAATACTTCTTGCAGACCTTCAGAGGTAAGATGGTCATTGCCTAATTTTTTTTTATTTTTTATTTTTATCTTATTTTCTTCTATAATTTAGCAAAGTATCTACTTGTAAAAAACAAAACAAAACAAAACAAAACACAAACTGCTGCACAGGAGCCACCACACTCCAATTTCTCACATTACAGACTGAAAAAAAGCAGAGAACTTTTAGACTAGACTATTATTAATGTTATGGACGGAGCCACATCCATTTTTTAAAACAGATTTTAACATACTTTTTCTCAAAATACAATGAAGAGGAAAGTTGATGGAGATACATCAGTGGTATTCAATGCTTCAGGAACAAATGCTCTGAACACTCTAAAGAACGTGTACATCTCCAGACAGAAAGCTAGACAAGGATCTCATGTACACAGCAACACACGTTCTCGATGAAGCAATAATAAATAACATATAAAGTATGAAGCATAATCTAAAAAGTCTAACTTTTGAGAATTCTAAAAGCAAAATCTGTTACGTTACCAAACAAGAAAGTGATAGATTGCATTTTTGGATTCATCCTTATTTGGAAATATTAGCTTTCTTTAATTCTATCTAACACAGAAAAGTAGAATGTTTTCTTTATTTCACTGCTGTAACTGGTACAATGCTTAACAGCTTCTTAGTCACCACATTCTGTCAGTTTTGCTTTAGGATCTGATACTACTGAAAAAGTGGTCTAAGTTTTCAAACAGCATTATATACAAATTTTAAAGTAAACATATCTTGCCTCGAATTTTTAGATTTAAATATTGTTTTGGGGTTTTAATCTTATGATACTGCCAGAATTATTTTGAGAAAAAAACAAGTTGGGAAGGATTTCAGTTACCTGTAAAAGTACTGAGAAGGTATTATTTTCTGAAAAAAAGCCTCTGCATGTCTTAGATCTAACCAAAATAGCACCTAATACTTTGACCCAAATGTTTTTCATGTCACTCAGTGAACACAAGAGAAGGTAGGTGTACAAAAGATATTTTATCATTTGATCTGTTGCGCTAGTAGTATAACCATAAAAGACACTTTCTTATCACATCCTGCAAAAAACAGAAAAAAAAAATACAAAACAGCCAAAGAGAAGCGAGGCTTCCTTTCCCATGGGAATAATATAGCAATTCCCTCAGTTATTCTAAGAGCACGAAAAAGTCTTTGTGCAATTAAATTAGCTATAAACTTGAGATCCTTTAACAATAATTAAGTTCAATTATGCAGCAAACTATAAATTCCACTGTAATAAAAAATGTATTTGCACAAATCGAACTACAAAAGAATGGTAAATCCACTGAGAACATGATTATCTAGCATGACAGGCAAATTCTTCTTGTAGCCTCCAGCCAAACAGAAATGTTTATATATGGATTGCAAAATTTCGCATATAACTTGTTAGTGACTCTGCACAGACCGGTGTACGTCACTCAATAGCATCAGAACTGTTCTCAAAGAAAAATGTCAGAGGTCTGAACTGGTGCACATGACAGACTTTGCCCTTATTATCTTCTTAAGGCAGAATCCCAGAGCAAAGTGAAGATACAAAGTTTATAAAACAGTGATATAAATATTGAAATCACTTATAAATATTGTCACCATGTATTCAAGAGAGGCTCCATAATTTAGCTGTGATCATCTTCTATTTCTACTGTGCCCTGGAGGAGCATCAAGCACCATTTGTCATTGATCTTGTTACAACCTAAATATACAGGCACACTGCTGTTTGGCAGAGACAAGCAGCAGTATTAACAAACAGGAGTTTTGGAAAGCTAAGGAACCAAAATAGTCAGTTCAATAATTCAGCAATTTGAGCAGGACAACTTAATTTTGAACAACCACAGTAGATCTTCCTCAAACAGGATACAGAAAACAGTGCAAAAGAAACAGGACTGTTGCCAACACCCTGCTAACGAGGTATTTTTCCATGCCCAATCTAGCAGTCCATCCTCTTTCTGTCATTACAAGATCTCAGACGAACTTCACGTTAAGTCCTTAGAGATACACACCACAAATCCCTTAGGGATGAGCATTATATTATCTATGGCCTTACAGCTCCTATTTGAATTGGTCTCAAAAATGCAAAGGTTTTTCATGACAGCAGGCAGCTGAGCAGAAGCAGACACTTTTCTGCATGAAGAGAACTCCGAAATAATTGCCTCACCTACCCGTATAACTAGAACATACACATGTTGAAGTCTGTCTGTAAATATGGATCAGTCCTGGAAGTGGCTTTGCTTATTTAGGTTTCTAGAACAGTATGCAGATACAGGCAAATGGAAACTTTTTAGTTGTATATATACATTTTTTTCCCAACAAATTAAACGGATGGAGATCAGGCAACTAAGGAAACTGCAGGAAAGTAAGAAAATCCCAAACCCAACAACTAAAAGTAGAATATAATGGAGTTAACATGCTGAAATGATAAGGACTAAGAAGCTTACACAGAATTTTCCATACTGCTAAGTTTGTTCTTGAACAAAGCAAACACTAACAGAGTGTATGAAGTAATCTGCTGCCTATTTGTAGCACTCAGGACAATAACTAACAGCACACTAACTAAACTTTACATCTCCAATTTGCATTAAGCACAGACTGGTTCTGGACACGCTCTTTCTAGGAGACAGAATGGAATGATGAAATACAGGATAATTTCCAACCAATGCCTTTTGGTCAGAATGACAGTGGCACTGACAAATATACAGGCAATAAAGGTACCCTCCAAAATACAATTATTTCCAGTATCAAGTCTATCGTATTCTCCTTGCACACTTTTGTCTAAATTTCTTTCTTCCTCATACTTTCCCGTCATCTCTGTCCTAACTGCCAGGAGCCTCCTACAGATTTTACACAGTTGTGTCCCATAGGAAAATGAGGGCTTTCGTCAATGAGAGGAAAGCATATAATTAGCTTTAGGGGTTTCTAATGAACTTACAGCCAGCCTACCTTCTCTGACTATTTCCATTAAATGATCCTCTGTCACTCCCACTAGCATACAACATGGTAATTCCACAGTAGCTCCTGATACCATCATAAGCTCCAAACTACAAATGAATCATCAGCTTCCTGTTTCCCTTATATCACCAGCCTCACATTTGCAATCATTTCCTCTGCTGACACCTCAACAGCTACCCTGTACCTACAACCATCCTCTACAGTTCCTCTTCCTTCCAAACCAAGTGACCTGCTTAAAGACCCAACTCAGTGCAGCATTTCCACACACACCCCTCACAATTTCTCATGAATCATTTCCTTCCCTGATCTCCTAGACTCGTCAATTCACTGACAAAGTTTGACTCGTTCCCCTCTCAGAGGCTTACAGAAGGAGGATTGCTAAACCCATTAAAAACAGAAACCTCCCACCTTAATTTGTTCTCTGTCAACTTAATGGAAACTATCCTACGCCCCACAGACCCTGAAGGCTTTCCAAGGGGGAAAAACAAGATGGGATTAACAACTGATTGGTCTGCTAGGTACACTGAAGTGCAGCCAAAACAGTGTTCCTGTCTGTAATTCAAGGAGACATTAGATGATAAGAAGAGATTGTGTCGAGGAAGTACTTTTTCCAGACAGTACTTGGGTTCTCTAAGTAATTCAGTAAGAACCTGTCACCAGATAGCAAACTAATTTCAAGGATGTAGCCTAAATAAGAGGATATAAAGTGATAGTTTTATATCATGAGGACACTGCTCTGTGGGACACCTTTTATATCATCTCCTTAACCTCACAATAGTTTCATATACACATATAATCCCTTGTTCCCTCAAAGAGCTACCTAAGTTATAGTTTGTGCTCTTTGCAGTAATAAGATTTTTACTGTGTGCCAAACTGGAATGCTAACTCAACTGACGACCCCAAATTGGTATTAGAGATAAACTGCAGCATGAAGATAGGGCTACTATTTTACCACTCATCTCAAAGCACTCCAGACTTGCTGAAGCCTAGATTCAAAGAAACTTAACAGATACATTTGTCTCCAGACTCCAAATCCTGTTCTGGAGAAAGAAACCATCACTGAGAGCTGTGCGATTTTCACAACCCAGGCAGCTACTGATTAATATTTAATTTTCCTCTTGCAAAAGAAAAAAAAAAATAGAAGCTTCACAATCTGACTTTTGAAGCCCTTAGAACTTCTCTCAGTGTTAAATATTCTCAACAGGTATACATCTTCACTTGTCTTTAATAACGCTATAGCCCTGTGCATATGTTTATATTAGACCTGTAAGCTCATTAGTTAAAAAGCATGTAACTTTTTCTATCCGATACTTTGTCTATCTAGTTTTTACTGAAAGCAGGTGATCATGGTAAAAACATTCTCAGCTACTTAAGCATTATCTAGTACTGCAGACAGAAACATCAAATAAAGCACTGGAACCTAGCCCACTGCATTACACTGGAACACAGCATGGTAACTGGAAGTGGTCTGGGTTATAAAACAGAATATGAGGGTTAAATGGATTAAAGGATGTTATACTCACAGCTAGCATTTCTGTAAAGAAGAAAAGGCTCATGGAGCTGAAACTCCAAGTCTTTATTTACTGGCTCAACCAGGTTGTGCATGTTCAGTCGATTCACTATCGTAAAACCATGATAAGGAGAAGCCGACCTATTGTTTTAATTAAAATAAAAGCATGGATTAATACCTTGATCAACATATACAAACAATTTTCTGAAACACGTTTACGTATTAATCCTCAAATCTCCATTACTTCATGAACTAAAGCTTTTGCAGTCCTGAATATCTAATAGCTGTTCTTCTACGCCATTTCTTGGTGAGCCAACTCATTTCAATTTAAAATCATGCTTACCTCAACTACGGTTAGGATTAGTGTTACAGTTCTGAACTGCTGAATCAAAGACATGGCTCAAAAAAAACCCACAAAACTATTCAAAAAACCTAGGGTAGGCCCAGGATTAATTTTCAAGTGTACTTAATACTTCAAATAAGACAGCTTTGAAGCTTTTTAGAATCTTTATTTAGAGGAGAAAAAACATCAAACCATACTATTCAGCAATACTGACTTTACTGCAAATAGATGTGACAATAAAAAAAAAAAAAGATGGCTTAAATAACAGGAAATTCACTTAGAGGGGAACCAGAAGCAGTAATTTCTTCCTAAAGGGATACTCTGAAAATAAAGATTTTACCCAGTATCTTCAAAGTAGTTATTAAAATATTTACAATTGTACTGCTTAGTGAAAGAATTTTTAATATCCACATTTTTGGTAGACACCATGTGGAAAAAGAAAGCAGCAAGCAAGCACACACTGAAAATTCAAGATGGTTTTGTTTCAGGTGTATTTTCTCTTGCTGCATGAATATCATGTCACCATACTGAGCTGTGCCCGTAAGCACTCATATAATCAACAAAGCAGCATGATGAAGGCCTTTGGGGGAAGAGGAGGCTTGTTTTAGATCATTCATTATCTGAGAAAAATAACTAGCTAAGCAAAGGCACTAGGGTAAAGACACTGATAGAATTAGCTAGTAAGCATTAATATCTTTATAGCAACATGGACGCCTTTAAACAATGTCCAGCAACAAAACCTGCCAAGAGTTTCTATGAAGGTGGCAAAGAAGTCCTTACTGTCACGGGTTACTCATTTAATGCTCTTAACAGACCTTTTGTGAAATAATCAGGAACTTTTTGTTTATTTCTTTTTTTTAATTTGGTTGGTTTTCTTACACTGTGTATTTCCAAACTTGGAGCTCAGGCAAAGTTAACAGCAAAAGATGACATGTATTCCTTTACAGTGCCAAGATACAACAGCTGGAATAACCTACTCCCTGACAGTCTGTTTCAGGATGGGTTGATTAAGTCTGCATTATTCACACTTCTTACATTCAGCACTGTTATTTCATTGTTAAATTTCTGACATGCTGGCAACTTAAAACTTAAATCCATAATTGGTTTTGCTGCTTCCATCAAGAATATCAGGCCCTTTTACCCATTCCACATAACTGCGAATTCCTTCCATTATTTTAACAAGGAAATCAAGTAGCCCTCAAGCGACTTAAGTGTCATCATCCATTTTTAGAACTAGACAGGATATGACAGAAGTTAAGAACATTATTTAATTTGATTTGAAATGCATATTGTTTTCATGATCAACTTCACGTATTTTAGGAGACGTGGGGTGGCTATGCATTTATCGACCCCAATACGTTAACAGATGTTATTGTTACCAACAAAATAAGGTTAATAAACTAGGTTTTTGTGTGGATACATACGTAGCATTTATCAGGCCCTAAGATTTTTCAGCAGTATTTCTGTGTGTTATCACTAGGGTTATTCACTCATGTGCAGAGTTTATTCTTCTCAAAGAATATATAACACCTATGTTACCAGCTAGACAAATAAGTAATTATGAACTGTATGCAATAAATCCAGTATGGAGCTGTACATGTAGCCACGTTCTTTGTCTTCTTCATAGTGAAAAAGAAAACACAAAAATAACCCTTACCTTTTGTACACAAATAAGGTACCTTCTATATCAGTTTTCTCCTACAAAAGAGAGCAGATGTGTGTAAGAAATATACTTGTTCACAGAGATAGCTTTTATAGAACATTCCAATTACAAAGACCATTTGTATATTTTTTTTTTAAATAAGGATATTGTGATCTGTTATTTTCTGCCACTACTTATTTTTTCTTAGGGAAGTTCAGAAATTAAACACACTTCCAGAAGATTTCCTTCATGGTGCTAACTTACTGATGGATATAACGTACCCCACAACTTTCTCATGCTCAGCTTCAACAGTCAGAGCTGAACACCTTTCTCACAACTCCCGTTTTAAATAAGGACTACACTTAATTACCTACAAATAGTTTTTCACAGTTGTTACTTAAAACAAGTAGAGTGCCAGCACACAGAACAACGAAACAACCTATGTGCCCCAGCTCTGTTTTGTCCTTCAGTTTTCCAAGCAGCCCTCACCGTACGCTTGTGGGTCTCCAGCACAGCTCCAGTGCTGCCCACAGCACTGAACTTCCACGCGTTCACGTCTCGCGGTTCTGTGACTAAACTACAACAGGCAGGGACAGCCCGAAGGAGGCACAGGACAGCTCTGAAGCTAAATCAGGCGTTTTCCTTAAACCGTACCTCCAGAGACGCCTTTTTACCGTAGGACCGGCAGCCATACGCAAACCACTGAGGACAACCAGCTGAGGTGAAAGCCGTATTTTAACGCGCAGACGAGTATTATTCCCCAAGCCCCACTGCTCCCGAATTAGGGCTACGAACAACAAACCACACTTTAAAATGTCAGAGCTGTAGCAGCCCTCCAGCCCCACAGCACCGATACGATAACGAGGGCCCGGCCGGCGGCGAGGGAAGAGCCCCGGCCCCGCTGCCCGTCACTTACCCACTCGTTGGCCTTGGGGCTGAAGCTGTAGAGCGCTACCTGGCCGGTCACGTCGGCGATGCTGGTGATGTAGGGGTCGTGGCGCTGCAGGGCCGCCAGGCTGATCTCCTGCCCCGCCCGGCCCGCCGCCGCCTCCTCCATCTTGCGGCCCGGCGCGAAGCGGCCGCGCGGTGTCACGGCGCGCCCGTCCCCGCCGCCCGCCGGAACGCTGAGCCCTGCGCCTTCCGTTCCGCCCCGCCTCACGGCCCACCCCGCCGCCCTACCTTACCCCCCCCAAAAAAATAAAAATAAAAAATAAAAACGGATACATAAATAAATGTGCCCTTGACTGCGTTGCGGGACTGCTGCCCTCAGATTGTAGTGGCCACCTGGTGAAATGGCCAGTGGTGGAAGGGTAAAGGCAGTGCTGACCATGAGACAACACTGACCCTACCGCTGTGAGGCAAAAGGGCACGACCTGTGTAAAAATCAATTAAGATCTCGAAGTATTGCTTTTCAAGATTGAAAATTCAGATTCAGCTGTCACCTGAATTTGGTGGGTATCTTCCCATTTTCCCATACGTCTGTCCAAGCACAGTGGATATTTCTGTTACCCAACATTTTCAGTTTTGTTCCGAATTGTCTCTCCGCATCTGGGCATGTCATGAAGAGAAATAGCTTCTTTATTTCTCATGATCAGATCAAGCTAAAGATCTGTGTATTGCTTACATTGTAAGAAGTAATTATGTTTTACCATAATTTGTTTCCTGACATGAGTAGTACAAAGGCTTCAGAGTTTGCCCCAGGCTGGACTGTGACATGCTGTGAGCTGGGTCCCAGGACGGAGGAGACACCTCCCGGGATTTTGGGGCCAATGTTGCTCGTTCCCTTGGGTTCCCCCTTCCTCAGGGGTGGGAGATGTGCCTGCAGCGTGTCCGTCTCTCGTGCTGCTGGGGGAGCAGACGGTGCAGTCAGGGCTGCAACTACACGGTGCAGTGCGCAGTGCCTCAGACTCTGCCTCCATGGTTCTACACACCCTCTGCAGATGCTCACATGTTCATCATTATCTGGTATTTGGTTCACACTCTGCAGTGGGATATGGAATTCCCAATACTTCAGAAGAATGTTGGAATTAAATACTTTGTTTTTCTAATATATGGATTTTAGGAAAAAGTACAACATACATATTATGAACAAGACGTGAAGGAATTCCAAAATAACATCATATTTGTAAAATTTTGTGAAATCTGCCACGAAAAACAAAACAAACAAAACCAAAAAAAAACTTGAGGCTAGCAAACTTAAATAAAACTATGTTTGCGGTGAGCTTATGACCCTTCTGAGAATGTAAGGAATTTCCTTTACCATTTGTATTACCACAGATCATGTTCTCCGTTGCAGGTGGACATACTTCTGAGTTTAATACAATTAGCTTTACAGTTTAATCCTCCCCCCAAAAGGGCGATGTTTCATGCAAAAGCATAAGCAAGGATCCAGCAATTGTGTGGCTCCATAAAAAGTCTTCCTGACAAGCAGCAGAAACACCAAGTTCCAGTAAGATACCAATTTATTTATTTATTTAAAAGTAAAGGTTTTTGGAGTGAACATTAATTTACCTGTTTCAATGTCAAACAGCTCTAGCATAAAGTAAAAAGACATTTCATATACATAAAAAAAGGTAATCTGGACACAAATTCCCATGTACCTTCAACATGTAACTCACTCCTGAATCCCAAAGCCTAACTACCTGTCAAAAAAACATAAAAGCATAGAGAATGTCATAGAGAGCTCCATAAATCTTCCATCCCTTGAGTTCTTCCTGTTTTGTCACAAGGGGGGTCCAATCTAATCAACAAAATTTGGGGTTTTATTGGTTCTGTATGTAAAGTGTGAAAACCCATTTCCATAAAGGGCAAACAATCACACTTAATTTGATGTGAAAAATACTTTGCTATAAAATAGCTAGTTACTATTCAGTAACATTCTAAATTAGGTAATAACAATATGAAGAAGTTCATGTTTAAAAGCAATCTTTTGAAAGACATTCTAAGGGCTCAAATGAAGCAAACAAAATGACAAAAACTTTTTAAACAGTTGGTTTTAAATGGCATTTGAAACACCTGCACCAAGCTGTTCCTTTCTTCAAGACTACTATAAGCAAAGGTATTTTTTAATGTAAAAAACTTCTTGACAAAGGGCAGCTTTCTGCTGTGCCAGACCTTCTCAAGTGTGAAAACTCCTTGGCTGCATCTTGAATTGAAAGTGAAACATGAAGAGCATTGATTAAAAGAAGAAGAAGAAGAAGAAGAAGAAGAAGAAGAAGAAGAAGAAGAAGAAGAAGAAGAAGAAGAAGAAGAAGAAGAAGAAGAAGAAGAAGAAGAAGAAGAAGAAGAAGAAGAAGAAGAAGAAGAAGAAGAAGCTGTGTTTTCCAGTTACGGGTTGTATTCCTCCTTTATCTGCTAATTCCTGTTCTTCGTTTTAGTGAGTTCTCTCTGACCTTCTTCACTGTTGTTGCCTCGAAATAATATATTTTATATCAGAAATGAGTCATATGACCTGCCATCTGCTTCATCAACCTTGAAGTACACTGAAACACACGGTATACTTAGACTCAAGCTGTGACCTCTGCAAACTGAAATGTTAGTTGTATCCATTCAGGCTTGTTCCTTGATTATTGTATATTGCAAATTTCTTTGTCCTCCTCTAAAGCTATGCAGCAGCTACTGCTGGGGAAAAGTTCATCCTGTTGCTCTCTATTTCTGGTTCTTGCACTGTACCAGACAGAAGTGGGATGCTGTACATAATGCCCTTTTGATGTTTGCTCTGTGAGTGGGACAGATTCCATTTGTGTTTCAACAAGTGAAGAGAACGTTATGTTCTGTATTTCAGTTATTCAGCTGAGGTTTTGTAGGACAGAATTTGATGATTTATTACCCTCTGTACTGTTATCTACTTGATATGTGTTAAGATAGGTGAAATAATAAAGACCCTCTTTTACCCCTTCAGATACTTGTGACAGCATGGCCGTGTCTTTCCACTGATGTCTGCTCTGCTATTTGCAGTTGTACTAACTCTCTGGCCCTTGTTTTTCACACAGCAAATTACTTACATAATTTCAAAGCTTATTTGGGATCCTTTCAAACTTCATACAGAAAAAATGTTCTTCAGTCTGCAATACCTTTGTTTATCCCCTGTTAGCTGAATATCATCAGGAAAGAATATATTGCTGATGTTACTGATGATGGAGAAATGCAGTCAGCATTCCCAGTCACTGCATTTGCCATTACTGCTAAAAGTTGAATTAGGGTCCAGTGGATTTCAGAAAACCTGAGTGACTCACAGAGCTAGTGTTCTATCATCCACACTGTTTTCCACCTGAAGCAATTTTCAGAAGTTGCTGGTATCATGAGATATTTTGGAAATAGCACACTTTTTATTGGTTTGCTTACTGATTTCCTTGAATTTCAATAGCAGGTAATTCTTGTTTTATTTATTAGTAATTGCATTGGTATTTATGCCTTAACTTTCAGCTGATAATGGCTGTTATTCAACAGAATTTATTTATTTGGGCTTATTTCTAGCTAGGGTAAATTGCCCTGATGATGACTTCCTTAATCAATAACTTACCAGACTTTTAGTTTGCAGTTTAATTACCTAGACAAGCCTGCAAGCCTAATTGTGTGTGTGTTGTTGTTTGTGTGTGTGTGTGTGTGTGTGTGTGTTCGTGAGAGATGTCAGTTTCTAGGTGCTAAAGTGGTTAAAACAAGGGGGGGAGGATGCTAGAATTTTGATAGGTCTGCCATTTTGTTTGGAAAATAATTTTATTTCACAAGAAGCATTACTTGGACATTTTTATTTGCTTATTATTTATTACAATGTTTACTTCAGTTGCATTGTTCATCCTACTATGAAGGCACACTTGATCTTTGCCATTAGTGAGGCTGACAGTTCCTGGCATTCAGTCTCATTACTACTTTACTGTACAAATAATTCTTCATGGGATGATTCTTCAGGCTGATAAAGGATAACTGAACACAGCTACAGTTGGAGATAAAGACATCTCTCTTTGTAAATGACATCTGTAAAAATTGTACTTTCTGAGACTTAGCACAGAAACAGGCTTTTACAGTACTCACCAGCAGTTTATGCAGTTTTTATATACATAAAAAAAGTTTTCTTTCCTGGCAATCATTCTGCAGTGCTGAGCGAATTACAAGCCTTTCATAAGTCTTCCAATTTGCAGTATGTTCTTTCTGCACTAATGTTGCATCCATAGGTACCTTATTGAAAATTCATGGTCATAGATATTTATTTTTAGCTATGAAAAATCTATTCCCACCTTTAGAGGAAGGTTTTCTAAATGGTTACACATTACAGTGTTATAGGGTAACAGCATTTTTTTTTTTTCCTGCAAATTCTGCAGTATCCCTTGGTCACCAGATCCATTTCCTTTTATCCTTCTTCCCTTGGTTACAGAACTAAACTTGTTAAAGAAGTCATTTCTCCACACCTACTGGCAAAAGGACAAAATGAAATCTGGTTAATGTGCCAAAGAATTCGTTAGGCTGGGTCCCTAACAATTCCAATCGGTGGGAATCGTTAAGCAATATAACATGTTATTGAAGGTTGTTACAGTGTTTTCTTCACTGTTGTGTTTTAAGATCAGATGACGTAGTATCTGGCAGGGTTGATTCTTGCATACTCAGTTCTTACATCTGTACAGAGCCTTATAATTAAGTTAATTATTCAATTTTGCTATCATATCATTTCTGACCTGCCTTTCCCAGGAGGTTTGTATCCCTTCCCTTCTGCCATGTCAATTAATTATGTCAGATTTGTGAAATAAGTCAACTTTATATTTCTACAATTCTCCACACCAAAAGTGACAGTTTCTGACCTAGGTTTTGTCAACAGGGTTTTTTTGACTGTGTGACTACTAAATGCAGTGTGGATGGACAAAGCATAGTGATAATCTAAACAGTAAAAATCTGTGCAATTGCTTGATGTGTAAATCTACTCCTGTCATTTCAAAGTGACAAGGTAGAGGAAAACAGTGCTTGGACTCCAGACTTACTCAGATGTACGTATGGGATTTTTACTATTTCTGTGCTGTACCTAAAACAGGGATAATATATAACAATTTTGTAGGGTAACTGAGTTGCCCAGATCTTGCAGTATTGAAATCTGATTTTAACTATAAATTACCTTGGGCTCATTT